AGATTATCCTCTTCTCTCCTCACTTGTGAGACGATCAAGTTTGTTTTGAAATGGAATCCAAGTGAGCATTCTCTCTCCAGTATCAGAGCCCTCCTATGGAAAACGTTCAAGGATAATCAAGTGGAGGTGGTAGTGATCAAGGAAGGGAACTCCATCATTGTTACTTGTTATGCTCCTCATTATCTGATGGAGAGTTTACTAGTGACAGCTAGAGATAGCATTGATATGCTAAAGGATATGGGATTGATCAGTTTAACTATTGGTTACTATACTGTGTATGATGAACATGCAATTGATGAGGTTAGTGAATGTATGTGTATATAAAATTATAATAGTATACTTTAATATTTGATAGGAGGTGAAGAGTCTAATGAAGAAACTGGAGATTGTAGAGATTGAAAGAGATGATTTACTTGAGGAGAATGCTAAATTGAAGGATACAATAGACACATTAGGTACATACTAATTATTATTAATTATAATTATTGATAATTTAAAGGTATCTCATATGAAGGTAGAGAAGTTGATGAAAGCAATAAGTCATCAATACAATCATCAGGTATAATGAGATTCATGTTTTGAGACATGATATCTATGAATATTGTCATGTGCATGAATTTTAAATAAATGCATCACGTAGCTGAATTGCTGTTCCTAATAATTTAATTGGTTTATTTTTATTATTTAGAGTCTGAGAAGGAAGAAAGTAAAAGGAAGATGACAAAAGCAATGCAAATGGAAATAGATCATTTACGATCATCTCTTCAAAGCAAAACAGGTATATATACAGACATACTTAATACTGTATAATGAAAATAGAGTACAGCTGTGTTTAGAGTATCATTATTGCTTGTACATTAATTTGTATATCATTGTATATGCCGTATTTGCTCGATCAAGTGCCCTTCCTTAAATAAACGCCCAGGCTAGGGATCCAAAGAAAGCAATAAATGCCCAGGCTTAATTAAACACCCACCTCGATTTAACACCCATGGGCGTAGCTACACAAGTACACTTGGCTGCAGTACTCAGTACTAATGAGTGTACCACGCGTAGTATTATGGAGAAGGAAAAGCACAAGTGTTATGATATTGATTTCAAATTAAAAGCAGTGGCTCTTTCAAAGAAGTCTATTGCTGCTGTTTCTAGAGAGTTAGGTGCTGACTGAAAACGTATTCAAGAATGGCAAGCACAAGAAGAAAAACTGACACAACTGAAGAAAGCGGATAAAAGTAAACATAAGTGGCTTGATGGAGCTGGAAGGAAGGTATTAGATGTTGAAATGGAAGAACAATTGTTTCATTGGATAGCTGGTTTACGTGAACGAAATATTCGAGTGAGTAGATCAATGATTATGAGACAAGCTACAGCTGCTTCATCAAATGATTCATTTAAGGCCAGTACTGGTTGGCTTCAAGGTTTTTGCACAGGAGCGATTTATCATTGAGATGAAGAACAACAATTTGTCAAAATCCTCCAGCTGCTGCTTGTATTAGTAAGCTGGTCGATTTTATAATTCATTTGCGGAAACTTCAACTCAGTCAAAAATATTCACTCAACTGTATATTTGCTATGGATGAAACTGCTTGCTGGTTCGATATGCCTGGTGACACAACCATTCATCACACAGGAGCTCGCTCAGTACCAGTGAAAAGTACTGGTCATGAAAAGGATCATTATACAGTTGTGCTTACAGCCAAAGCTGATGGAACAAAGCTTAAACCCTTTGTTGTCTTCAAAGGCCAAGGTACACGCCTTATTAAAGATCTTAGTACAATTCCTGGTTTGATTGTACGTTTCAGTGCAAATGGGTGGTTAAATATAACTCCCTCACTATTGAATATCTCAAGACAGTTTTAGGAACGTTATCATTTTCAAACCGTTTAATGATACTGGATGCCTATTGCTGTCATATAAGTGATGCTGTAAAAGAAGAATGTTCTCGTCTTAAGTTAGAGACAGCAATCATACCTGGAGGCTGTACACGATATATAAAGGCAGCTGATGTGGTGTGGAACGCATCATTTAAAAGCAATATGAGACAGCATTACGATACGTGGCTCTCAGAGCCTTCTTGTCATCAATACACAAAAGGAGGCAATCTTAAAGCTCCATCTTGTAGTCTTATCTGCAGCTGGGTGAAACAGTCATGGGAATTAATTCCTTCTGAAACTATAAAAAGCTCATTTAAAATTTGTGCAATAGCAACTGCTGCAGATGGCTCTGAAGATGATTTGATACACTGCTTTAAAGATGGACAACCATGTGCTGAAGGGAAGGCTGTTTAATTAGATGAAATGAAGAAGCTAACTGAAGAAATTAATGACACAGCAGACCCATTTGCTTTGGATGAAGATGATGAGGAATTACAAAGGAATGAGATGTGCATTGATGATGATGATGAATTGTAAATATTAAATAACAATTATAATTTAAACAAACAAAAATCATTCATTTAATCATGTATAATCACTAGTAAATGATCAATTTAAATTTAATAACTTTTTAATTTTAGAAATCAGTCTCTTGGATCCTTTGTAAGAATAGACACATGGCACTTCCAGTCCATTTCCCAGTTTTCTGTGCCCTGTTACTTTGCAAGTTACTTCACCTCCTCTCTTTATAAAAAAACAGGAAAAAGGTAGCAACTCTGAGCTCTCGAGGCCAGACTTGGGGTCAATTACAATTGTAATTGTAATTTAAGGGTCAATTACAATTACAATTACATTAATTGTAATTGTAATTGACATGTATTTCAAGCTATGGACTATAATTGTAATTGTAATTGAAAATAATGATAAATTGCATCACCTGATGAGGGACGTTTACACCAAAGAAGATAACTAAACCATAGGCTTTTATACATGCATACCCAATGCTTGCTCACCCAGCCACCATTTATTTAGCCATTCATGCATCATCAGCAACTGTGGAAAGGATATTTAGTATGGGAGGAAAATTTTTTAGGCCAGTGCGGTGCCATCTCAGTAATAACCTATTTCAGTCATTAATGTTTATACATTGTAACTACGATTTAAAACTGTAATTATATTGTAATTAAATTAAAATGTAATTGTAATTGTAATTGAGGTGAGGGACTTGAAATGTAATTGTAATTGTAATTGAGGCTATGCGGAACAAATGTATGTATTTAAAAGTGTAATTGTAATTGGAAATTTGTAATTGATCCCAAGTCTGCTCGAGGCATATGGCCCACTATAACACCATCTTTCATGATTGCTACAGCATGACAATCATGAATATTGTTGTCCTCAGTTCTCAAGCATAGCTGCTTTCCAATAATGGGTGTCCAAATAGTTTTATAGACATGATGCCCTCTAACACTTGATACTTGAACAGTAGTAACCATGCTGCTTGCTGCTTATTTTAATAACTGCTACCTGCCCACCTGCACAAAAATTAATAAAAGCCGACTCTGCATAAATGCCCTCCTCATTTAAACGCCCATACTAAAAGTTCTGTTAATAAAGCTAGGTTTAGTTTCGACGAAATGGTCAAAAGTACGTGGGCGAGTTGACCTTTTGACGCAAAAACGCTTTGAAGATGATGCAAAATTGGTCAAATTTTAATTTTGCGTTCATTTGTGTTGCATTTTTTGTCAAGTGTAAACCAGGCTTAATTAAACACCCAAGCATTTAATCGAGCAAATACGGTACTCAATACTATTACTGGTTCTATTTACATGAAATTAAACTATTGATAAATGTTTTTATATAGCGACCAAAATTTTTGATTTGTATTAATGACTATATTATCAATAGAAGAAACATTAATTGGAGTAGGGAAAACATTAATTGAAAGAGAAAAGGAGATAGAACAGTTACAGGAAAAGATATCATTAATGAATATACAACAACTGAAAGAAACTTCAATTACTCTTAGTATGTATTACATTATATTAACATAATGACTAGTACTGGTATTTTAGGAAAGGATCAGTCTACACAATCAATTGATCCACCAAAAGGACCAGTTTATGTAGCTATTAGAGACTGGGAGGCACAGAATAGTGCTCAGCTTTCAATCAAGAAAGAAGAGAAACTTGAAATTAAGAAAGAGCGTACTGAAGGATGGTGGCTGGCAAGATCATTAGATGCTGATCAAGAGGGACTTGTTCCTTTTAATTACATTAAAAAAGATGATGAGAGTGAACTGTCAACTTTGGAATCACTTGAACTATTTCATTATGCAATGACAGAAAATGTTGACATACCTAAAATCAAGGAAATTAAGACAAAGAGCAACGTTGAGAGAGCAAGTCTCTTTTTATCATTAATTAAACAAGATTCAGTTCTGCTAGATCAACTTAGAAAAAAAGAACATGGTAAGATATTTGTATGTACTAATAATCTATAGAGTATTTTGATGGTATTAGATGTTGTCCATGATCTGCATTCTATAGTATTCTAAAATTAATCAAAATTTGTGTTTCAGCATACAAAGTTTTGTAGTTTTGTGTATGAATTTTTGGCAAAATATAAAGTTTTGTACGTCATAAAATCCACAAAATAACCAGCTATACAGAAGTGTTGCTTGCCTTAGCCATTAAAAATATGATAGTACAGAATTATACTTGATAATACAGTAATTAATTATAATTGTTTATGCATTCAGGAAAACCTAAAGCAATTAGGTGGTATGACGATGGTGTTGAACTGACCTCTCCATCTTTAATACAATGTCAAGAAGTAGTTTCTCTATTAACATACAAACATATGCACATTGTCATCAACAAATCATCTCCTGACGTTGTGTGTGACCTGTTGCCAGTTTTATTACAAAATGAAAAGGTGAAACACTTGAGAATACAAGACACTCAACTAACAAAGGACTGCATCTCATCCTTATGTAACTTACTGGCTAATAATAAATCATTAATAGATTTACCTCTTTCTAACTGTTCCATTGATGACAAAGCAGTTGCTGATATTACAAACGTACTACAAACACACAATAACACACTTAAAGGATTAGCCTTTGTTAATAATCCTCGTATTACTTCAGTTAGTGCGCAGTCTGTTTCTGAACTAATTATCAACAATTCAACATTAACTAGATTACAAATAACAGGCACTTCAATATCATCTGATGGAATATTACAAATTCTTGAATCGTTAACACTTAATAAAAATATAAAGCTAATTCTAGATGTGGAAGAAAAAGACACGTGCACAGAATACCATGACTATAGTATTATAAAAGATAGAGTAATATTTATGTGATTAATTAATTAATTATAATTGTTATTTGCATTTTATGACTTGTCATTTATTTAATAATTATTAATTTAAACTCAAAATAATTAACAAAGTGATTTATGATAATTATGTACAAAAAACAAGTAAATACAAAATAATGATAATAATTGCGTTCACCCATT